TAAATAATTAAGTAATTAAAATACAAAATTAAATAAGATCATATTATAACACAGTAATAAAAATATTAAATGTAAAATATGTAAATAAATACTAAATGCTTTCCCAAAAAATACTCATGAATAAGCACATTGACAGTAAAATCATAAAGATAATCGAAATATATATTGGGGCCAAAATATCCGGCTAAAATTAGTTCTATCCAATTTCGGGGTTTACCCGTAACATATATACTACTACATACACAGAAACTAAGAGAACATACTTATCTCTGCCAAAGGTGTTTAGATCCAAAGATAAATTCAAAATAGACAAAACCATCATACGACCAATGGCCATATATGGCACAGAAACATGGATCGTGACAGAAAAAACAACAAATCTTAGTAGTTCTTTTGAAAGAAAAATATTAACAAAGATATTGCGACACACTTGTGACTATTGGATGTGGAGAATAAGGTTCAAATAGACGACGGACACGGCAAAGAAAATGGAATATGAGTTTCGCTACGTGGAATGTACAGGGTATTAGACTGAAAACGGATATCATTACATCAGAAATCCAGAAACTAAACATCGATGTAGTAGCGCTAACAGAGACCAAGAAAAAAGGACATGGTACTGGAGTTATTAGAGAATACATTCAAATTTTTACTGGAGTTCCAAAGGAAAGAAGAGCAGCTAGAGGGGTATCCATATTAATAAAGAAAAACTGGAAAACCAAATAACAAATTTTGAAGCTGTAGATGAAAATATCTTAACGGTAAACTTAAAACTACACGGCCATAACATCGCCATTATCACGGCATATGCTCCATCAGACGACGAAAGAATAGACATTAAACAGGAGTTCTTTGACAAACTTGACGAAATCCTAGAAAATATTGAAAAAAATAGAGAAATTATAATGATGGGGGACTTCAATGGAAGAACGGGAAAGATGAACAATAGCCCAGTTGTAGGCCCATTTGGGGAAGAAGTAACCAACGATAATGGCCAAAGGCTGATACATATGTGCGAAACCCACAATCTCAGAATAAACAACGGATTCATTAAACACAAAAGATATTCACCGCTACACATGGACACAGAATACCCGCAACCTAAAATCCATTATTGATTATGTGATAAGTAAACAAGAAACAAATATAGAGGTGAACGACGTAAGAGTGTTGAGAGGACTCACTTGCGGATCAGATCATTTTTAGTAAGAGCCAAAGTAAGAATAAAATTTAGAAGAACAAATCAGGCCAAAGATGAACATAACAACGATTCCGTACTCACCGACGAAATGTGTACAATAAAGTATATAATTTTCAAGGTTTTAACGATGAAAGCACGGTATTTCTTTATCAGAGGCGCCTTGACAGCAAACTATCAAATGCGGAAGAATGCACCTTTTATGAAATCTATGAAACAAAAATATTTAAAATGGTTGGCAACAAAAAATGAACAAGATCTGGAAGATTATAAACAAACAAAAAGACAATTAAGAGCGGGCATTAATTTAGCTAAGAACGAGACGTGGGATAAGAAATTTATATCAAATGTCAAAAACATATACATGATAGAATCTCCAAAACATTTTGTAGTAAATGGAGAAGAAATAGAGATATCCGAAGAAACAGTAAAAAAGACAGTTTTGAACCTTAAGTTAGGGAAAGCTAGCGGACTAGAAGGGATTTTCTCCGAAATGTTAAGATGGGGAACGGAAAAAACTCTTTAGAAATCTAACAATAATTATCAATAAATGCCTAAATGGACATCCTGTTCCAGAAGACTTGAAAACAGCTTATATATCATCCATCCATAAAAAAGGAAATAAACTGGACTGTAACAACTATCGAGGCATATCAATCACGAGTACACTGAGCAGACTATACAGTAGAATACTGCGAGATCTAATTGAAGAAGACTATAAAGAGAAAGAAGAAGATCAAAGCGGCTTTAGAGCAGGTAGATCGTCTACCGACAACGTATTTTGTCTAAAACAAGTCATAGAGAAGAGATCGGGTAGACATCTGGAAACCCATCTTACATTTGTGGACCTACAAAAAGCATATGATACAGTCCCAGTATCGAGACTGTGGAAGGTATTAGAACAAACTAACATCAATCACAACGATATAGCTGCACTTAAAGAACTGTATGAAAATTCACAATCAAGAATTAAGATAGGTAAAAAAACTCACAAATGCCGTCATAGTGAATAAGGGACTACGTCAGGAATGTCCTATCTCTCCTACACTATTCAAAATATATGTAGCAGCGGCACTTAAGAACTGGAAAAGGAAAATACACGGAATGGGTATAGAGATAGACGACAGATACCTGTTTACTCTTCAGTTTGCAGATAATCAGGTCATAGTGGCCAATGACAAAGATGACATGCAATATATGATTAGAAAGCTGATAGAAGAGTATGAGGAATGGGGCTTGACTGTTAACGTAAATAAAACGAAATATCTATGTGTAGGCTCTCAGAGCAAAAATTTGGAGTTCGACAACTAGTTACAGCTAAATAGTTACAGCTAAAAAGATAACAGGATGTCTGAATGGCATCTTGTGGAGCAGGGAGATAACAAAAAGGAGAAAATTTAATATATACGAGACAATGGTTAAGAGCAGCCTATTGTATGGAGCGGAAACATGGAGAATTCCAGACAGACAAAAAAGAAGGTAGAGGCAGTCGAAATGGACGCGATAAGAAGATCTATGCGAGTCCCACGAAGAGAAAGAATGAGGAATGACCATATAAAACAACAAATGGGAATAGGAGGTACGATAATTCAGGATATCGAAAAGAAACAACTTACCTGGTACGGACACGTAGAGCGAATGCAAAATACTAGATGGCCCAAAAAAATACTGAACTGGACCCCAATAGGGAATAGAAAGCGAAGAAGACCCAAACCAGAGTGGCAACAAAACATAAAAAAGACAATGAGCGAACGGAATCTATCAACGGAAGATTGCCACGATAGAAGAGGATGGAAGTTAGGTGTCGGACAAAGGAGAAGGACGTTCTAAACTGGCATATATATATATATATATATATATATATATATATATATATATATATATATATAATATATATATATGTATATATATATATTATATATATATATATATATATATATATATATATATATATATATATATATATATATAGAATAAGGTTCAGTCATGAATTATATCAATATTACAAAGAACCCTTTATAGAAAATTCTACCAGGTTAGGTACAGTCAGGTCTCTAGTTTACTACTAGTACTGAAGTCACGTTTACGACATTGACTATCATGACATATTTCGCAGTTGTAGTGAATTCAATTTACACAAAATCCATCGATACAGAAATCCTTCAAATTAATACACAACTTAAAGCAGTTACAATTATTATTAAAAAGTCTGTAAAAATAAACAAATGTAATAATACACATTACACCTAAACAAAACCCAAGCAATAACGAAATCTCAGATTTGATAAAACAAACACCTTGCGTAATATGTACTTGAAGATTTAAATGCACATAATTACATGAGGATAAAAAATCATTACCTTATGGGCACCTCACCCACAACAAGGAGGATTCAGACCCAGCAAATCTTGCGCCGGTCAAGTCCTCGTACTAACAGAACACATTGAAGAGGACTTTGAAGAGAAACTTATAACAGGGGCTGCTTTCGTAAATTTGACAGCAGCCTACGATACAGTAAAGTATCAACGGTAAGGAAAATATTGAGTTTTCATCCTGAATTTCATAAATTGAAATTGAAGTTATTGATGAATTCAATACAAGATTTGAAGAAATGGAAAGTCTCAAAAGCAGTGTACTACTTTATAATAACCCTCTTGGAGCAACCATTGATGATTAACCACCCAACTTACAGCTTGAGTTATGTGATCTTCAAGCAGACATATTCCTAATCACCAGACAAGAAAAGGGACCTAAATTTCTTAAATTACTGTCAAAGAAGAAATTCCCAAACCTGTGAGATTTTGGACTGAAAATGATGTCAATGTTCGGAAGCACATATACATGTGAAAGTGCCTTTTCGTCCATGAAATACATAAAAAATAAAAACAGAAGCAACCTTACCGATTCTTCCTTACGTCATCTTATGAGAATGTCTACAACTGAACTGGAGGTGGACATTTCTTTATTGGTGGATGAAGCCTATCGACCACAGTCCTCACACTAATTGGATATATCTTTTTCGTTGCTTTTGCAATGTTTGTCTTGATTATTGAAAAGTGTAATCAATAAATTTTCCGTTTATAAAAAAATGTAGTTGTTGAGCAATAAAAGAAATAATACTCTTTTTTGTTTTAATTATTTTTATACCTCACTTTATTTTGTTACTACTTGTAACAAAATTATTATATGGCCCGCGACAACATCAAAGGTTTTAGTTTTGGCCCTTGAGGCATTGCAAGTTGGACACCCCTGATGTAGAGCTTACAAGCAATATTAAGTGACGGAACTGATATGAAAAATTTGTCATGATACTTACACTCCATAAATATACTAAATAAACTGTAAAATTTGAAACTGTAATACGCCAATGACCCTTTGAGATTGAGGCATAAAAAAATTTACACAAAAATTTCTATACATAAATCATAAATGGACAAACATAAAAAATTGCATCAGCAAAAATTACAAATTGTGTCCATCATAGTAAATAAATATTGCAAATGAAGTTTTAATTTCACGGTAAACACTAAAATGAATGACTGTCAAAGGGTAGCAATCCAAAGATTAATTTAAGTAAAAAATTATCCAGTCACCAGAAAACATGAATTAAAAAGCAATGAGCATTACACGGATGATAGTAATTGAGGAAACAAAAGATTTGTAATTTATAATTATTAGATAATGAGTGACACAAAGGTTGTAAGGATTCGTATAAATATTGTCGGGAAAGAGTTAATATTATCATAACAAATTGTGTTAACAAAAGTTGAACAGCTAAATATCACGTCAAAGAACAGTAACCATGAAGTACCTCGTGATTGTTGCCCTATTCTTCGTCTCCGCACAAGCAGCCGTAAGTCGATTTTTGGTATAAAAATTATTCATATTTTCAAACTGTATGTATTTTTACATTACTCAAAATAAACAAATGCTGCTTCTTTCGGAACACTTCGATAATCAGTTTTCTTTAATAAACACGGTATTTTTTAAAAAATTATAAAATTAAAGCCCAAATTAATTTTTTTTATAGAATTTGGCAGCTTACTAATTTTTTGTGAATCTTAAGAATGTGGAAATATTGACTACATTGGATTTCATTAGTATCAAACATTTCTTCTATTTCTAGTTTAGAATTAAAAATTGATTTTGTACGGCAATTTTTTAACAAAACAATTAAAAATGTAGTTTTTTCATTCTTGAAATAATTTTTGTAAAATACTAAAATATTAGAAGGCTACAATACTTTTTTTCCTGTATTATGGTGCCCGATTGGCAAATCTGACTATCCATTAATATTTTTTATCCACATTCTTTTTTATTCACTTTAGAAAAACTCAATTTAATGTGATTAAATTGTTCTCAAGGGTGTGTTCTGCATCTACCAAGAGCTTTTTTAACTTTATAATTAATATATGTATTATTTTTTAACTTGTTTCAAGACTTAATTTAAGAATGTATCTATCTATATTAAGTTCATCCGCTAATATTAACCATTTTGATTTTGCTTTATGTATTCCGACTTATTTGGTCCTTTAATCCAACTTTCTGCTTGTCCTTTCGTTATATTTTAAGCATTTTCCCTTCAAAATACGGCTCAAATTCAAATTAAAATTTGCCTTCGTAAAATTCTATAGATGTGACCCTTAATAAAAACCATGTAAAAATGGTTAAAAAATGTTGTTTTAATATTGTGAAGATTTCTTCTTTTAAAAATATAATTCAATTTATCAAATGCCACCCATGTAAGTATTGTTCTTTTTATTTCTGTAGCCTGATTTTCTTCTCTTATTTTAATTTCATCAATCCGTTAAGTTTGGTTGGTATTACTGATACATGACCTGCATATTTTAATGATTTAATCGGTATTCGCTAATGTTATTGCTGTTTCCCTTCCAATATAGTTTTTCGGTATCTGTTCTGGCGCTTCGTAGATTTTAATTGTTGTTGAAGCTTTGTTACAATTATTTGTTATGAGTTCTGTGTATCGGCAAACTACTCTGGTTTATTATATGAAAAACTTCTTTGAAATAAGTAAATTATTAGAATTATCATTCCTAGTATGTGGTCACGTGTAGTAAATTCCTTTCTAAAGGCGATTTTTTAATTAGGTTGGTCTCGGAAGAATTTTGTTTTCTTAACATATTCTTTAATGGATTCGTTCTAGTTATTTGACATTTTGTTTTTGTCATATTTGATTGATAAAAGTCTCAAGAGTATTTATTGCAGAACTATTTCCGTTTTTAAGCATTTCCATTGTCACTTCGTCTGATTTTATTGCCTATCTTCTGCTTCTTCTTTACAACCTTTGTAGGTTCTTTCAATCTGCCCTTTTGGATTATTGCCTTCGCAACTGCCTGATATTAATGGTTTTAAGACCTTTCCCTACATCGTCTATTCACCTTTTACAATGCATTGCTCTTATCCTATTCCCGACCATTTTTAGATTACTTTTACAGCTCGATTATCTGGCATTCTTTCTAAGTGACCAAGTCAATTTAGCCTTTGTGACATTACAAATCTAATCTATATCTGCGATCTGCATTAATTCATCCAGCTCATAGTTCCAACCTTCGAAAGGAGACGGTGTCATGAGAAGGAGAAGTGGTTAAAAGGGTCCACGTTTCATATCCATATGTGACCACTGGTCTAATTACTGTTTTATACAATTTTAAGCTTAGATTCACGATTCAATAACTTACTTTTCATTAAGTCTTTCTATACATAAAAGCACTTATTACGGTTAAAAATATGTGCTTGTATTTCTTGGCTGACGTTGTTGCTATCATTTATCAGTGATAGTTTCCCAAGGTAGAGAAAGGTGGAGGCATATTTGTAGATATGTTATCTAAGTCAATTCGGCTTTGTGTACTTAATATATTTTGTTTTCTTTTCATTTATATTTAGACCAAATGCAGCGGCTTCCCGTTTCAAATCTATAGCATAATCCGATCCGAGCAATTCGAGAATGTTTGGTTTCATCAAAACGGCTCTTTAGTTCACAACGCTCGAATAATTAGGAAATATTTAAACAATACTTTCCCGAATCTAGCTATCAGTGGAACAGGCGATATTAAGTGGCCTGCGCGATCTCCAGATCTTGCATCCATGGACTTCTTTTTTTTGGGAACATTTATTAAGCATCATCTGCGATCATCTTGAGGCTCGTCAGATTGCGATCCTGTTCAGCCGTAGAAGGTTAAATATTTGAATCATTTCTGTAGGGCATAAAGAGTTGTTTCTAATTTTATTAGGAATCATTTTTTATTTTCAATAAGAGTACATTTTTTGTTTGGTCTATTTAAATAAATGAAATTTAAAAGAAAGAATATTTAAAGAAATTAAATAAAATTTAATTCAACCACAAAAAATTGTTCATATTATTAAAAACCGATATAAATGCACCGCCTTATAAAGGTCAGTGTATTTTTATCGAGTTTATATACTCTAAGAAATAAACCGGGTATAAGTAATGAAAACAAACATCGAAGGACGGAGATGTACATCCCAAGCATTTGTATGTGCTTCTAAATGATTTTCTGTCGTGGTGTCAGAGGAAATGGAAAAATTACAATTACTTCGTACGAGACAATCTTGCCGATTATAGCGCTTTATGTTGCCTGCAATATCTAATCCAAGATATAACGCACTCTATCTAGTTTTCTCAGAATAGCTTCCAAAATTAGATTAAAAAGTGCTGGTTTAAAGGTGATAAGGAATCAACTTACCTAACTTTATTTTCAATATTAAATGCCCCTGTCATATCTCCATCTAGTCCTACCATGGCCTTAGAATCCTCCAAAGTCATTTGTATAAGTTACACTAACTTTTTCAGTATTCCTAACATGGATCGTTCTTTTAATATTTTTTGTCTACTCCATCAAACGCTTGTTTGAAGTCAATAGACAAGTTGTAAATTGGTATGTTATTTTCAACACATTTTTCATGTATACCTCTTAACATATGTAGTTGGTCTCTAGTAGACCTCTTTGGTCGGAAACCACATTGGTATTCATCTATTATTTCTTCCGAATATAATTCCTGATAATATCTTATAGGCGACATTTAATAGTGTTATGCCCCCATAATTTTTACAGAGTCGTTTGTCTCTCCCTTTCAACATAGAAAGTATTATTCCTACTTTCCAATCCTCTGAGATGACTTTTAGAGTTTATATGCTGCAGTTTCGTTTACAGATACGCTTCCACAGCACATGTCTACCATTCCTTATCAGTTCTGCAGTTATTCCATCTATGCTTGGCGCTTTGCTATTTTTCAGATGTTTAATGACGTATTCGCTCCGTGCGTGACTGACGCGACACCTACCGCCTTCATCTGACAATTTTGGAGTCCCAATTTTCAGGTTACACATATGACATATGTTTGACATTGTTAAATACATGCGAAATTGACAATTAATAATAAATTAGTTTTTTGACTATATTTTTTCAGTTTATGTTTAAAATAAATGTAGTATTAAAAACATGGTTTCTCAAAATTTATCATAATATATATTTTCAACTCCAAACGGAAAAGAAAGGGAAAAATCTAGTACTGGCAAATCAAGTTTTTCACGCAAAAGAGCATATAATTAAAAACAATAATAGTAAAATTTATGATATAAAAGCTAAAGTCATCTGCAGTTAGCTTGAAGCCTTATCAAATATCATTCAAGGTAAATTATTTAAATTTTTCCTATTTCAATTGCATAAAAATGAAATTATGTGATATTTACTTTTTCATATTAATAGCACGAATTCATCTTTTTCTTTTCTCCAATTTATATGTAATCTTTGGGAACCTATAAAAACTACACTCACTGTTTTTGCTATTATTAGCACAATTAAATACGCAACATGTATTTGCATACATTTTTGATAAAATTTATGAAATATTTTGTCCAATATTCCAATTTTGTCATATTTTTCCGCTACGCACGCTGGCATCGTTTCAATGTACCCCTACCATGGTCACGCACGGAGCGAATATAGTTTCTTTAAATGTTGGTTCCTCAACTAGTGGTTCTGCTATTCGATGAGTTATTTCTACTTTTTGGTTTTGTTCCATTTCTGGGTTTAAGAGCTCTTGATAATACTTCTTCCACCTTTTCATTAGTTCTTCTTTTTCGCTGATAGTTGCCACGTTTTTGTTCTTGTCCACTGTTGTTCCTGTCAGGTATCCTTGAGTGTATCACTAGGTTTTATTGTAAAATGTCCTAGTCTCTCTTCTGATAATATAATCTGTAATTTGTTGTTTTTTGCTGTTTAACATTTCTCTCTTTTCCTTCTATAAATTCTCTTTGCATTTCTTCTTAGTTATTCATATGTCCTTCTATTTAATCGGGAGTTCCTTTGTAGACATTTCTGCCTACCTGTATTTTTGCTAATTATTACTTGTTCGATATCTTGGTTAAACAACTCCTCATTTCTTTTGCTTCAGGTTTCGCCTAATTTTTTCCTTATTGTGTTGGTTATTGTCGTTTTGATGATGTTTCATTCATTTTCGATGTAATTTTCTTCGCCTCTTTTATTTAATATTAGTTGTATTTTCTGTTGATACTGATTCTTCTTCTTATAATTTTATTTTCTTTACTCTTTCTAGTAATGCCTTAATTTCTTGGAGCTGGCATTTCTTAAACTAGAAAAGAAACTTATTACTAATTTAAACAATATAATTTATATCATGTCTTTCAGATTGACCCCAAATTAGTTGCAGAATTTATGGAGAAAGTTACGAAATTTGGAGAAAAATGTATGCAAGAGACCAAAGCAACGAGTGGTGAGTAGGGTTTTATTAATGACAGTTATTCTAGTTGGAGTAGAGATGGTTGAGCTACAAAACAAATCAAAAGATCTAGGTGTAGATCATATGATGATTTATAATTTTTAATTTCAATTTCTTAGAAATATCGAGACATTTATCCTCAATAACATTAAAATTAGTTAAGATTTACATGTAAGGAGAATATATTCTACCTCAAAAAAAAAATCATTGAATAAAGAACGGTAAGTAACAGAGAAATACATTTGTAAACTTACACAAAGTATATTATGTATTACCAACAGTGACTCTGTAAAGTCTTAAAATATACAAATATAAATCATACACTCATTACAGCTTTAAAAAATCTATAAAATAGAACAACGTGAGAGCTTACATAAAGAGTCAAATGATAACGGGTTGGGACTAATAAACGTTGCAAGTACTAAAAACATGATAGTAGGAGGAACAAGATTTCCCCATAAAATGATACACAAAGGAACATGGAAATCCCCTGATAACGAAACCATTAACCAGATAGATCACATCCTGATAGATGCAAGGCACTCCTCCGATCTCATAGACGTCAGAAGCTACCGAGGCCCAAACATTGACAGTGACCACTTTCTTGTAATGGCAAAAATCAGAGGAAGAATATCAAACCTAAAGAAAGATAAACACACGAAACAAGACAGAATTAATGTTGATAATCTGCGCATTGAAACCGTTGCGAGAGAGTATGGGAGACAAATGGACGAGGAAATGGAGAGCTTGGAGGTAGGGGAAAATGTAGAGGAACTGTGGACAAAATGTAAAAACATAATAACTGAGAAAGCAACAAAAATATTGGGAAAAACCAAACCAGTTAAAGAAAACGAATGGTTTGACAAGGAGTGCCAAGAAGCAACAGATAACAAAAACAGGGCATACCTAAAGACAAATCAAGCTGGATCCACAAGAAGAGCAAAGGAAGAATATTGGACACTAAGAAGAGAAGAAAAACGATTACATAGAAGAAAAAAAAGACAATTTGAGCAAAAGCAGTTTCTCGAAAAAAACTCGAAAGTTCTACAGAAATCCAAACAAAATGACGAAGACAAAACCAAGTACATGTTGGTTGCAAAGGATCCGATAGCAAATGAGGAACGAAAAACAGTCTTTGGAAGTCATACCTTTGGACGTGTTGACAACTTCACATACCTTGGGTCGCTATTGACTGCTACCAATAAAACAAGCGAAGAAATAAGACGAATAAATCTTACAAATAGGGCATACTATGGACTCCAAAAGCATTTCCACTCAAGAAACATTCAAAGAAAAACTAAAATTATTATATACAAAACATTGCTGAGGCCGGTCCTCACATATGAAGCAGAAACATGGACTCTAACGCAGAAAGATGAAAGACTTTTGGGAATATTTGAGCGTAAAATACTCCGCAAAATATTTGGAGCTGTAAACGACCAAGGGCAGTGGCGCAGAAGATATAATTTTGAATTGTATCAGCTCTTTAATGAGCCAGATGTCATAAAGTTCATTAAAACACAGCGACTTAGATGGGCTGGACACATAATACGAATGCCAGAAAATACCATTGCTAAAAAGCTAACCACAGGAACACCTGTAGGAAAAAGAAGCAAAGGCCGACCGCGAATTAGGTGGTTAAATGGAGTAGAAACCGACTTACGAATATTAAAAATCAGAAGATGGCAACATGTTGCCAAAAACCGAACAGAATGGCGACGAATCTTAGAGCAGTCCAAGATCCACAGAGGATTGTCGAGCCAAAGATGAGATGATAAAATGGAAAAAAATCAAGAGTAAAAATGGAAAAATATATCATTGATAAATTCTCAGTTATTAAGGATGTGAGACAAGGGTTTTGTATATCGCCAAGTATTTAAAATCTATGCCATAGCAGTTTTAAAAAGTTGGAATAGAAAAATTCAAGGAATGGGAATAAAACTCAAAAGCACGACCCCTTACGAATTAAAATTTGCCGATGATCAAGCAGTTATATCAAATAATCAAGAAACTATTAAGTACGTAATGTGTATCAAGTACACAATAACAGTAAGTCAACTTATATGGAAAACAAAGAAAGAGAAAGTAGAATAAGAACGGTGAAAAAAGCAATATTCTGTCTGAATGCAGTTTCATAGAATAAAAACGTTACTAAAACAAGAAAATTTAATATATCGTCCCATTTTGGCGGTAGTTATATATCGATATATAAAACGGTAGTGGTTTGGCCTTCGCAGGTTCTTCGCACCTTCTGCCCTCCTGGCTTGATCCCTAAAACTATCATTTTGGGCTAGGAAGACTGAGGGAAATGATTTAAATATGTCTTTTATTTTGAATGTTGTGAGGCGTACCTAATAATATATTATTATAAGGCCCCTAAACTCGTCTTTCACCCTTCTCCTTCTACTCTATAACGTGTTCTCATAGAACACCATACATTGTCCGAAGATTACGCGACTTATATCTTCGTGGACGTAAGAGGTAATCGTTGGCAGAGCTGACTGGCTTAATAGATCAGTTGTGTCGATTGATCTCTATCAGACACTTACTGGAGATCCCTTGTCTTAAAATAACATTATCGACCAGTCGCATAATCTTAACTTCATATAAATGATAAAGATTTTTGAGCCAGAATATCCTTCGTCGTTCGTGACCAAATCTTATAGTAGTTTATATGGTTGAGTTTGCCCATGATACTAAGACTTCCAAGATAAACCCACTTCGCAATCAAATTTTGTACATCGACGCGCATGACGTCAATTGGTGATAAAAGTCACTTTTATCACCAACCTTTTATCATCACAGTCGGTAAAACATATATGGAAAGAAAGGAGTTTTTATTTAAATATTTAGAATATTAAGGGATGTTAGGTAAAATATCTGCAATTAAATCTTAAAAATATGTTATATATACATCTCTGTTAGCCTAGCAATGTAAACTAAAATTATATAAAAAAGTAAGAACTAAACATCCTTTTGCAAATGGAAATTTATATACAATGGATTGATTTATTAAAATAAAAATTTAATACAACTGATAAAATAAAATACACTGTAAATAATTTACAAGTTTATTTAACAATTTATTTTACAATTTTTAATATTTTCTTCTTCTTAACTTTGGATGTTTCTTTAATATATCTATTCAATTTTCTAATTTTAAAATATAATTTACACCTTTACTAACATTACATCTGAACACAGCTAAATCCATTAGCGATTTTAAATAATTCTTGGTTAATTTTAATGACCCTTTGTTAAAATTGTTAAAAATATGGTCCAGTTCATTACATTTAATTAGAAAATCTGGATATGGTTTAAGTAAACCTCCTTCGGAAAGATGGTTTACCCAGTAAACCGATGTCAACGTACAAGATAAACGATAAAACAAAACTAAATCTCAAGGTTAGTAGATATTTAAGTAGATACTTAAATATCTACTAACCTTGACTAAATCTGACAAAACTCCATACAACACAGAACATTTCTGGTGACATTTGTCGCCAAGTGACGTCACACGACTGATCGCGTGCGCGTGGGTTTATCTGTAGTTTATAGTATCATGAGTTTGCCGAAAGTGCAAGCTGAATATAGCCGCAAATGTCAAACATGGAACATAAAATTTCGGTCTAGCAGTGTTGGCATGTTTTTATAATGTAGGTGCTACATGTTTCAAATATAAAATGATAAAGCTTTAGAAGAGTACATTTTGTTTATATTATGGTGTAAATTCTGCAATTCTTGATTTATATAAAACAAGAATGAGTAAATATTTGTTTCTTTGGAGATTAATTTCAGTTAATTACTTTCGGTAAACTCAACCGTTTATATTTCAGATTTCTCATCATGTGAGCAAAGTAACGTTTTTTAATGAAATTTATAATCTCTCCTTCTTTGTTTAGACGTTGTAAAAAAGTAAAAACGCTTTATTCGACATTCTACCCATCCTTATCAATCCGAGACAAACACATATCTCGAAAGTCTCAATCCTTTTACATATAAAATAGAATGCTAAAGACATAACACAGTAATAATCGTATGCTTAAGAGGATTCTGCTTTTGATCCTGAAATAAGGCCCTTCTTTTATTCACTCAAAAGCCAAATATTTGTAAGATCTGTTTCAACTGTTACATACTGGGTAAACCGGAACCGACCGACAACATTCACGTTACTTTCGTTTTCGCGTTACTTTACTTTCTAGAGCTACTCTTTTTTCTCTTCCCCTCTCTCTTTCTCTCTCTCTCTCTCTCTCTCTATCGATCTATCTCTCTCCCTCTCTCTCTTTCTCTCTCTCTCTCTCTCTCTCTCTCTCTCTCTCTCTCTCTCTCTCTCTCTCTCTCTCTCTCTCTCTCTCTCTCTCTCTCTCTCTCTCTCTCTCTCTCTCTCTCTCTCACGCAGGAAATTTTGACGGGGCCTTAGTTTTCCTCAATATTCCTCTATTTTAACTGTATTGAAAATTAGGCATTTTTTAATATTTAATGCAAATTTTGTTTCGCAGAGGATGTTGCCCAAATCATGGCTCACAAAATTCCAGATAGTCACGAAGGAAAGTGCATGATCTCGTGTGTCTACAAAGCATTCAAAATCGTAAGTCAATCGCATAAAAACAATAAATTTTTATCAGAACTCAGCTTAAGGTTAAACTATCTATCAATAGTGTGAATGAATATCTTGTTATTTTAGCAAAATGAAGATGGAACCATGAATTCTGACCAAACTTTGAAGCTCATGGAAAGGGTTAAAGAAAGTGACGCAGAATTATTTGAAAACTTGATGAAAGTGTTCAAAGTTTGCCATGGAAAACCAGGTAATATAAAAGATTATGTATTTTTCATTCGGCTTTATGCTAAAATGATACAAAAATTATAATTCAACTTATTTCTTTCAGAACTTATTGTCGCAGATCCCTGTGTAACAGCTGTCAATGTGGGCGCATGCGCAGTGACTGAAGGAAAAGCGGTAGGTACCAAAGTTTTTTTAATGATATTTAATAGCTTTGTTATATATTTGCTGGATAATATATTAACTTATTTAAGTTTTAATTCTGGTATATTAATGTATCTATTTGAAATAATAATTCTAACGTTCTGTGATATCACCTCACTCTTTTGATAGAAAAAGTGTAGAAAAGTCAAATGAATACCTTAATATATCTAATATGTAAAGTTATCCATTCATAGACTTCGATAAGGTGTTTGATTCAATTGAACGCTATGCTTTTAAAGAAGAACTTAACAAAGCAATAATTTATCATAAAATATGTATATAATACAAAAATTATAGAATATATAGTAAAAACCGAACTGCCCTTTGACTGCATTTCCCTTTAATACAAAAATTGCTGTGTATAATGGATAAATAAAGTCAAAAAGGTCATTATTATCTTTAAGTAGAGAATCGTGTAAGTATCGAATAATACGATTGATGATGTACACTGTAATATTAAAGCAATGGAACTAAAAAGCAAAAAGACAGTTACAAATGCAACTACATAACCACACGTTATGGCCAGGCACCCAAAATAGTGGGGATAACTTTGTATATTTTGAAATTAAGATGGCTTTATACTTCACAATTTATTTAATAATGTAACATAATATTTACTAATTTCTTATTATGACAAAATGTTTTATCTATTTTTAATAATATTCTTTTTTGTTTGCAGCTTGGCATCAAATCCGAATTGTTTGGAATGTGATTATTCTATTGGATTTTTAAAAATCTGTTTGTTTTTTGACCTGTTTGTTTAAATAAAACAATTATACATGTTTTACATAATTATTATTGTCTTTATTTTGACCTGACTTTAAAATTGTCCATTGAATAAAAAACTTTATACAAGCGGCAAGATATAACGAAATATTTAATAATATTTGTAACAGAATACCAGTAAAAATTTAGATTTATAAGACCAACAAACGCTTTATTCCAAAAAGCAACGCTACAAACCGATAGAGATAAACGGCAATGCTCTTAAAACAATCAACTAAATCAAATTTTTGGGAATGACATTCGACTCTCAACTCAAATGGACATCGCACATAAATGAACTAATTAAATCATTCCAACAGAGAATAAATCTTCTAAAAGTTCTTTCCAATCACAAATGGGGCGCAAACACAACTATTCTTCTACGATTATATCAAGCTTTAATTAGAAGCAAACTAGATTACGGATGTATATGCTACGAAACTGCTACTAAAAGCCAATTGAACAAACTGGACATCATCCCATCCACAGCATTACGTATAGTTTTTGGAGCTTTCAGAACCACGCCAATTAGCAGCCTTCAAGTCCTAGCAAGAGAACCGCCACTATCTCTAAGAAGACAATATTTTTCGATGTGTTGTGCTACTAAATATCTCAGTGCAAATGAAAACCTGTTTATAACAAGCCTAATAAGGAGCAACCCTCCAAATCTGTACTCAAGTTATTGCCCTAGAAACTTACCTTTCAATGAACGAATAAATCGATTCGAATTCGATATACATCAATTGAGAGCCACTTCTACAAATAGATGCCAGTATCCTCCCTGGAAAGTTCAATACCAAAAGTAGATTTTACCTTACTTAACTATCCCAAACAATCACACAATCCTTCTGAAATAAAACAACAATTCCAGTCTACCATCTCCAGATACCCTGATTTCAAACTAATTTTTACCGATGCCTCTAAAAGCAGTAATGATGTAGCTGCTGCAGCTATTTTTGAAGACAACACCTCTGTTACCCGTCTAGCCAAGGAGTGTAGCATATACACTGGAGAACTACAAGCAATCTTCAACGCACTGAACCAATGTACCAGCAATAATAAATTTTCTCATTATATCAGATTCTTTGAGTGCCTTAAATGGTGTCAAGCAGATGTACCCCACTCATGCCAATTTAGCACTAATAAAAGACATGCTATACATTACCCAAACACGTTGTAAAAACATTACATTTTTATGGGTACCATCCCATGTTGGAATAAAGGGTAACGAAGCAGCAGATAAAGCAGCAACAGAAACTATTAATGACATGACAATTCCTATTATACAAAACATAACAGTATCAGACCAAAAAACATTAATAAAAACTTACATCAACAAAACCTGGCAAGTAAACTGGAACCAAACAGAAGCAAAATTAAAATTTATCAAACCAGATGTTACTTTTGCTTTATTACCGCTCCCAGCTCAAAGACATAACCAAGTAATTATTAACATATTTACACATGGATACATCATCTCCAAGGACCCTCAGCCGATTTGACACATCTGTCAAACACCAGTGCACCAGTTTCAGTGCAACACATAATGATAGACTGTCCAGTGTACTCAACAGCAAGATCGACAGCAAAAATAAAACACAACTTAAAAGAAATTCTAAAAGAAGATATCAGTAATACAATAAAATTTATCAAAAATTGTCAACTGTATAACAAACTGTAACATAACATAATTTTGTATTTATTTTTGTATTTTTCAAAACTATTATCTAAATTTTTATAACATACTAATGTAACTTCTCCAAAATAAAGATATACTACCCCGCTAATAACCCTAGGGGTTGATGCGGTAAAAAAAACCGATGGAGACGAGTATTGACAGGCCCAGCATAATTCTTGAATATAACTCCTGTCGCTGGCCTGAACCCTCGGAGATGAAGGAAGGCGGTCCAGTCGCACTATCAATAGCTGAAATGAACCGGAGCAATGGAAGGATCACGGTCCATGGACATATAGGCCGTATACGCCCACAAAGCTAGAGGGAAATACCTTTTTAAAATAAATAGAAATAAATATTAACTAAAACTAAGAATCTGCAATAACAGTGTTAATTATTCTTGAAACTAAGGATATGTAAGAGAAAGTTATTAGTTATCACACCTAAAACTATTTAAAAAAAAATTAAAAAAATGAAAAAATTTCGAAAAAAGGTGAAAAGGTGAAAACTCGATATCGTCCAAAATGTGATAGAAGTGTTCGTCGTGGTGACTTCGGGAAGAATCAACAAACATATGTAACGAAATATCGACACAAAGCCAGTTATTGGAAATTTTCGACTATCGAAAATTGTCGATAGTCGAAAGACCGAAAGTCGATGAGACCTAAAAATGTAGAAAAAATATCGTTATTTTAATATCAAAAATATTTTAAAGTTCAAAAAGGTAAATAGAAAGGTAAATGAAAGAAATATAAAAATATAAAAAATCTTCTAAGTTCCATTCAGGAACTTAGAGAATCTGAAAGAAAAAATAAAATAACGAAATTATGCTAAGTTAAAATTCCCAAATAATCAAATAAGGAAACTATGCCAAAATTGTTAAGAACTTAGAAAAATCCGGAAAGAAATACCTAGATAATGCAAATTCTTCTAAGTTATTAAATCGGAAATAAATATCTTACCAAAATTCTTCAAGTCGATAAATACCTGAAAAATATGAAATTGTACCATTTCAGGTCAAAAATACCATTTAATTCGAAAATAAATATTTCACGAGAAATATCGTAAGTCGAAAATGCTGAAATAAATACAATATTTAAATATAAATCAGACTAAAGGCCGTAGGACACTGCATTTTCTTGTCTCATTTCTTATATCGTTTCTGATATAGAAAGTTATTTATATTTTCTTGTATCGATTCTTGCATGTACATTTTTGCCCTGTATGACACTATGCAAGTTCTTTTGATTGGTCGAAATTTTGACACCTATAAAAATATAACTGCGGTACCTGAGGACCCCAAGCTACTGGGGACTGAGGACATATGCTACTGATTGTGGTTTAAAATACTGTGGTGCAAAAATGAAAGAAATAAAATGCCCTTATATTAAAACTAAATTGGAAACCACAATTTTTGAACATATTCAACAGGCTGTAATGGAAGACAGAAATAATAAATAATTTGGTTGTAATAATTTATTTGTTTTTTTTTTTAATTATGTGTTTGAATGGCATGCTCTTGAAATTCTACTCTCTTATTTGGATATATAAAATAATCCTTAAACTCATCACGAATTTTTAGAACGGTTATGTATTGTTTTTAGTAAAACATCTCCTTCTACTTTCAGTAGTTCCGATGCTATTTGATCCAATCCCTGTGATTTATTGTTTTTCAATTTGGCTACCGATGTTCTAATCTTGGTTATTGTTGGTGGGCACTTTTCTCTTATGTCTGCTTGGTCTAATTCAGTCTAATTGTATACCAAAGATCAAAGTTCTTCTCTAGCCGCCAATATGACAGAAGTTTTACGTTTTTGCGGCTTTGCGCACAAATTGGCGCATTTCTTGTACAAGAAAATGCAGGGGACACAAATTCTTGTATCGTTTCTGATATAAGAAACTATACGCTTGTATGACACTATCCATTTTTTTGTTATATCAGAAACGATATAAGAAATGAACTTTCAAAAAAACCGTTAAGGATTATTTTAGAACACACTAAATTTTCACCTAACAACTCCAAATTAATTTCATTTGACGTAAAAAATATTTTTCCCAGTATCCCTCCTACAGAAACTTTTATTCTAGTAAAAAACCTTTTAGACCAAAATAGTACAAATCCAATAATTACATCTGAAATTTTACATCTTGAAGTTTGCATAAACCAGGACTACTTCGAATTTAATAATCAAATATATACAAATAACAGTGCAGGACTTATAATGGGAAATCCTCTAAGCCCATTGCTATCAGATATTTTTATGGATCATCTAGAGACAAAGATTTCAAAACATCCCGTATTTAAACACTTTTATATCGGTGGAGATACGTAGACGACGTACTATTCACAGGAACTAACAGACAACTCGACCAATTTTTATCGTATATTAATTTACTTCATAGTCATATTGAATTTACAATAGAAACACAACAAAATCAATCTATAAATTTTTTAGATTTTAAAATTATCAGATTTAAAAACAAACATGACTTCTCCATATTTCACCAACCTGTCCATACTGATACGACTATACACAATTCATCATCCCATCCAACACAACATAAACTGGCAGCATATCATAGTATGTTACATAGATTACCAGAAATTCCGATGTCAAAATACAACTTTGAGACAGAATTAAATATAATTAAGCAAATAGCAGTAAACAACGGATACAATGAACAATCAGTTAATAAAATGTTAAATCAAAAACTACACAGGGAAGCCCTGAAATTAGTATTTCCACCACCAGAGAAAAAACCCAGTACCTTCTGTTCGATTACATATACAGGCAAAATTACAACAAAAATAGACAAACACATAAAAAAAAAGGAATAACACCAGCTTTCCGAACAAATAACAATCTAGGCAAATATATCAAAAATAACAAGAGCCAAAATAAAAAACACTTACACAGTGGTGTGTGCAAACTTAAATGTGGCGACTGCCCAAAAACTTACATCGGTCAAACTGGTAGAAACTTTAACAAACGAATAGCAGAACATAACAGGGCTTTCAATTATAGAAAACCAGATTCTGCATACGCACTTTACCTTCTAGATCACAATCATTCGTTTAACGACGAATTTAAAATTCTTCACATTCAAAATAAAGGCCTAAAGCTATCCTTGTTAGAATCTATGGAAATCAACAAATTAAAAAACACAGATATAATTCTAAATGACCAACTTGAGACAAACAGTTCTCCCCTCCTCAACGTATTTCATTAGAGACTATAAAGTGTAAACGTATGCCAAAAATAGATCACTTGAGAAAGGCAATCAGCCGAAACAGCTGTAGTGATAAGAGTTAAAATAAATTTTTGTGGAAGTTTCAAAACAAAGTTTTCAGTGTTTTATTGTTTCATACCGTTTTTTGTTGGTAATACTTTATATATTTTTAAACGTTATTTTTTTTATTTAGATTTAGTGCAATTCCGTTATCTGTGATGGCAACAACGAATTGATTCACGAATCATTGTGTCCAGTCTGAACACTGGTTTACATTGGGAAAGAAAAGTGTACCAGTTTTATATGACGGGAAGTGTAGTGGGTAAATGATTATACAATCGAAACCAAAAAAAAAACGAAAAAGCTTTTGACAGTATCTCTTGTCTTGGCATTATTAATTTTTATTACTGCCATAAGAAACATAAGTTTAATATTGGTTGAAAGCTTCAACTGTTGTTCCTTTTTGCAGAGAAACGCACTTAGTTTTATTAACGAAACTTTGCTGATTAAATAATAAAACAAAATTATTTCATATTAATTAACGGTCTGAAAAAAATAAATAGTATTGTAACGCTGAAGATAAAAATATATGAGATTGAAAAAAAAATGGATGTATTTATTGTAGATAGTGAAAATTTTAATTATAAGTTTCAACCATCTCGCCCACAGTGTTGAGGTGAGAGGGCCCAGAAAAAAAGGTATTTTGACCAAAATGTCACTTTTTTTACACATAACAACACCACAGTCGTGACAAAAGTTCACAAACTTGGAGCAGGAATCGTGAAACATTAGGGGCATTGTAAGCAATTAACCTAGTCGTCAAATTTTGTGGTTTGGGAATATATTTCTCCACAACTGGTACAAGTCTGGTCATCATCGTCCATATCATCTAGAGAGTCATCCAATGTTGGTTCCTTTAGATCTTTGTTTTCTTTTTTGTCACTTTTAACTCCTTCAAACCTGATTTTAATTTTATGGGCTTTATTTCTTTCTCTCTTTTCTTAGACGCTTTGTTCCTTTTTTGACCAGTTGTTGTCCCTTCAGTTAAAAATTTTACTAGCTGCATACTGCTTTCTCGAATCGAATTAATGCCAGCGAAAACAACTGCAAGGGATGAGATTAGATTAGATTAGATAAGAGAGGTGGCCTTTCGGCCTAATCCACTGCGACCTTTTCAGATCTATTGTGGTCCTCTAGTCCTAGAAAAAATTTTCTAGCCTGACCCTATTTATTAAGTCTAGTAGCTTCGAGACTGCATCTGATGATCAAACAACGGAAATAAGAGCCAGGATAGAAATAGCAAGAAATGCGTTTGTAAAAATGAAAACAATTCTCTGCAACAAAGACCTTAGATTAGAACTGAGAGTAAGAGCACTGAGATGCTACCATCGAGCAAAAAGATAAAAGAGGGAATCTAATCGTTATGAAAAGGAGACCAAAAAAGTGGCCTCTGATGGCGGACATATCCGGAAATGCAAAGGCGCTAAATTTAAATTTTCCAACACTTGTTAACAATACCTGTAAAATATTTTTCAGACAAGAAAGTTTTAATTAAATATCAACGATAATAGTCTAAAAAGTGACATAATTGGTAAAAAACTTCAATATAAATAAAATTTCATGTGACAGTTGGGACAAACAATAACATAACCAAACTAAATTTGACTTCTTAAACAAGGAAAGAGACTGTCTTTCCTTGTTTAAAGTGGCCTCTCAAGATAGCACTTCCTGTCTAACAAACTTTTTGTCCCCACTACCTTTACATTCCCTCTTTTATCTTTTTGCTCGATGGATGCTACGTGTTTTCGATACTGCAATATGGACTTTAAAGCTGGACATTGAAGCAAGAACACGTAAATAAATTACAGTTCTTTGAAATGTGGTGTTACAGGAGGATGCTTAGAAGAGCATGGATATAGAAGAAAAGTAACACGGAAGTATTGAGAGAAATGGGCAAAGAATGCGAAATAATAAACACAATAAAAATAAGAAAGTTACAATATCTGGGACACGTAATGAGGGGACAGCGATATGAACTGCTAAGGTTGATAATACAGGAAAAGATAAGAGGATGAAAGAGTATAGAAAGAAAGGGAGTGTCATGGTTGAAGAATTCAAGGGATTGGTTTAAGTGCAGTTTTATAGAACTCTTTAGAGCAGCAGTAAATAGAGTAAAGATAGTAATGATCATATCCAACCTCCGATTTGAAGACGGCACTTAAAGAAGAAGAATGTTTTTACTTACCTGACACGATTACGTCAGAGTGTAGCTGCTCTTCTTCTGACATTAGCGGTGGCCCTGTAAAACCATTGCGCCACCATGCCTTATGCATCATCTGTCCTTGAATGAAGGTTAAACACCAGAAGTTAAACTATTTTTAATCTTCTTTAGGGCATCTCTGATTTCTGATTCTGAATTATGGGACATCAAATCTGACCCTTGGTTTAACATTCCTATTTTTGTAGTGGATGGACCTATAGAGATCTATGTAGAATTCTTTAAGTAGAGTTGGTTTTTCGTCTTTGTTCGTAGTTGTATCTCCTGTTCTGTTTTATGGCTTGTTCATTTTAATTTTTTAATTTTGTATGTTTTTTTTAAATCTTTGTGCTTTTATTTTTTTTTCAATATTCGTTTGATTTTTTTTTAATTAATTAATTAAATTTAAATTTAATTAATTTATTTACTCATGTCTTTTCTTATCCTCTTGAGGATTGTCTTATTTATTAATCCGAGATATTTCTTTTATATATTCTTATTACTCATACAGTACTAATATGTGGTCACCACCAGTACTGAAGTCACGCTCACGACATTGACGTGATATTTCTCGTAGTTGTAGGGAATTCCTTTTGTACAAAAATGTCTATACAGAAATCATGAATGGGCAAAAATAAAAAATTTAAAATCAGCAAAAATAATAAATTGGGTATATCATAATGAATGATTATTGTTAATGAAATTTTAATTCCGTAGTCAAAAATTTAATGAATGGCTGTCAAAGGGTAGCAATCCTTAATCCATTAATTTTAATAAAAGATTATCCAGTCACCAGAAAGTATGAATTAAAAAGCAATAAAAATTATATGGATGATAGTAATTAAGGAAACAAAAGCTTTGTAATTTATAATTATTAGATAATGGGTGAACCAGAGGTTGTAAGGATTCATATAAATATTGACGAAAAATAGTAAATATTATCATACCACGTCAAACAACCGTAACCATGAAGTATCTCGTGATTGTTGCCCTATTCTTCGTCTCCGCACAAGCAGTAAGTCGTTTTTGGATTATTTTTCATTTACACACTATTTTTATTCGTATTTTCAAAATGTATGTACTTTTCTAGTTGCTTCTGTAAACCTAAATGTAATATGAATCAATAAAATATACAAATGCTGCTCATTTCGAAAGCTTTAATAATCAATTTTCAAAATATTTATAAAATTATAAATAAAAATCCAAAAATTTTACTTATTATTAAAATATTACTATAAATAGAGAGTTACTGAAACCGTAAAATGACAGCCGACTTTATTGCAACCGCCTTCAATAAGTAACAAAATACTTCATGTTTAAAAGAGAGTTATTGCTATAATGTTAAAGAAATCTTTTATTGTGACAAATGACATTAAATATTTTTGTAGAATATAAAAATAACCTATAAATGCCTATAAAATAATGATTCCTATGTGTTACTTCTTATATGAGTTGTCTAATTCCAAAACCGGCCATTTGCACAAAGTGCAATTTTCACAAAATGAAGAAAACTGATTTTTTTTATTAAACCTCCTGAAAAAAAGTTCATACTTAGCCATTTGCTATCTATCAGATAATGTATCAAATTGCAACTTGTTATTTTGAATTTAATTAGCTTAGTTATTAAATAAAATTAAATATGTTTTGGAACTTATAAATCAACTTGGCCGTTTTTGAAACTCATTCCCCTAAACATGTCCGGTTTTGAAACAAACTAGCTAAATCACCCATTGTAATAAAACGTCATTACCCATTTCATTGTGCCCGAAATTTGTGTTCATGTGTTTTTAAACATCAATAAAATTAGAATTACTTTTATAGTATATTTTTATTAAAGAATGAATCGAACAAAAAATAAAATAAAAACTTACAACATACTTTTCAAAAACGAATAAAAAAAGAAAACTTTACACGTGGCTGTAATTTCCGTCAACATTATCCATTGCCATCTATTGCGTACAACTCCCACACTTATCATTCCTTAATAGCTTACGATAATAGAAAAGTTGTTCAAAATTTGCCCATTCTTCACCATAATGTTTTCTGAGTAACTTCTGTACGTCATTAAGCTTTAATGGGTTGATGTTTACCATTCCTGGCTGTATTGTCTTCGTGGGTAGATTCTTCCTTCTCTTTAAAATGCTTTTGTAATTTCCCAATTCATGTGTATACGCGACTTCCCCACAAACCAACATTTTGCCATGGTTATTTTTTTAATAAAAAACCTCTTTGTAGGTGCACATTTAAAGTGCCACTGCCCTGGCTGCTTGACTATTTCATGGCAATACTTCTTCCAGTCATATACAATGCACTCATTGGCTAGAGTAATTACAGTTACGTGCTCTTTAAAAATGTCAATATATTCCTCTGGATTGGCCATGAATTCTTTCGAACACACTACTTTTTCTATCCTGGCGAACACACGATCCGGGGGCAAGAAGCTGTGGCCAACTACAGGAAAAATAAATTGGATTTCCCTCACATGTTCAGGAGCATGTCTACTTAATCAAAGCATTAACATTCCGAGGACAGTTGAATTTTTGTTCTGCCCTGGACACCCATCTGATACTAGTGTTATTCGGGTTATACTTTCATTAAAGATAGTGTTCTGTAGTTTGTGGAATAAGGCAGAGGCAATTTCATTTTAACCTTTTCCATGCTCTACGTCATTCCATGTGTAAATAAACATATTGACGCTTTCGAATCGCCCTGCAGAATGGTATTGATATAGCTGCCTGGCATAGTATGCCGATTGATCCAGGACCCTGGGTAGACCCTTAACATTGGGTCTTTTTCTTTTAATTCAGAAGAAAAAGCTTTTGCTTTCAGAGAATGGACACGTTTGCAACACATTAAACTTGCTTTTTTCTGTTTGCCGTTTTCTATTTTTATTCTTTCCACTAATTCGATGCAGGTAGAACATGCATCTATCCGTGAAGTTCCAAATCCAATATTAAAATTGCAATTAAAAACTATACGAAAATTGCTTTCTTTTACCCACAAGTCTGTGGTAGATGTTTTTGATATAAGCGCCACATAGATTTAATATTCAAATAGCTTGGTAAAAGATCCGAATAGCGATTTTATTTCGACAGTAGTGGCTTTCTATGTCTCTAAAAGTTTTAATAAAATTCTTAACGCTTAGTAATTTTTGAGCAAAATGTATAGTTCTACAATTTGCTCCTCTTGTTTCGAATGGAACCTTTCCATGTTCCATATAAGCAGTCGACATTCCCTTTTTTTTGATCCACTTCATCTTCAGAATGAACACATGGTATTTCTTGTTTAGACTCTGATCAATTCGAAGAAGCGACTTCTGTTTTCCTTTTCATTTTCTTTTCCTGTATGTTTCGCCATATAATGTTTTAATTAAGGCATCCTGCCACTCTATTTGCTTTTTGGACTTGATCTCTCACGTGCTTTGTCCAGGCCTCCATAGACCTGGATAGTGTAATTCCCAGGTATTTTATTTGCATTACTTGTTCAATACTGATGCCATCAATTTCTATTTTACCTTTAGTTGGTTCTATGCTGACTTCTATTGTTTTAGTTTTTTGAGACGAAATTGTCATAATAAATTCTTTTGCTTTTATGTTAAATCTGTGAACCAATCTTGGTAGACTATCTTCATCTTGGGCTATCAATATTGCGTCGTCTGCCTAACAGAGTATCTTGATTTCTTTGTTTTCCATTCTGTATCCTCTTTTTTTTACGGTTTTAATTATTTAATCCATGATCAAATTGAAGAATATAGGGCTGTAAGTTGTCCATCTATTCTGACTCCCATTTTGTTGTTTTGGTAGATGTTTTAAATAGTTTTTATAATATTTAGGGGAACCTCTCTATTGTACAGACGATGAATTACATCTTTGAGTTTTACTCTGTCAATCGCTTTCTTTAGGTCAATCAAACACAGAAATGCTGGTCTATTATACTTGAGTGATTTCTCAGTAATTTGCTTTATAACGAATATTGCATCTGTATACGATCTTCCACTTCGAAAACCCTGTTGATCTGCTAAACTTATCCTCTGATTTATTAGCACTTATAAAATTTTAGTTGTAAGATTTAGCGTAGTATTTAACAAGTATATACCTCTGTAGTTTTCTGTTGTTGTTTCTGCTATTTTTATCTCCTTTTTTGAATTGTACAATTAGTTCACCCCCTTCTCCATTCTTCCGGTATTTTATTGTGTTAATAATTTTATTAACTAATGTTGTTAATTGTTCTGTTATTGCTGCTCCACAATATTTCAGTACCTCGTTTGGTATCCCTTCTTACCTACTGCTTTTCTGTTCTTCAAATTTTCAAGTATTTTCCGAACCTCCTGTACATTTATCTTAAGTTCTTCATTTATGGTAATTTCTGGTGTTTCCGGTTCTAGCGTCGTTTGTTCTTTTTCTACATAGACTTTTTAAGGTAGTCAATCTACGTATCCTTTTCTATGTAAATTTCTAATTCCACACTCTGTCGAAACATTTGTTTACACCCGGGATGGCTGCTCCTGTGTCCTGACTGTCACTTACATTGATATGTACTTCATTTGGATTTGCTTCAAGGATTATTAATAGTCTATCTGTTCCTGTCCGGAATCTGGATCGGATGAGTATCTCTGGTATCTTGCTAACTGCTGGATGTAAAGTAATAAGTCTGTAGTTTTGCGGAAATATGTTATTTTTCTAGGCTTTGATATCATAATTACATGATCTTCCTTACAATGGTTTGGGAAGAGCCTGTATCTTACTATTACATTTGTTATATTTGTTAAATATAGAATTTTTTTAGCTGGAAGATACATCAGAGATCTGTCCGTATTTTAACTTGACCAGATGTATTTCTTGGTGAGCTTTTCCAGATTAGTTCACTTATCTCTCTAGGTGATGTGGGGGTGATTATTTCATCTTGATCTTTGGACCTTTCTTGTTATTTTTCATCGACTTTCTCGATAAAGTCTACATCTTCTTCTTGGTGTCTCTACTTTCTAAGACTACCCTTTTTCTCTCTCTCTCTTCTTCTTCATGTATTTTAATTGTTGTCGTAGATTTATTACAATTTTTGATTCTGTATATCGTCAGTACACTATGTCTTTATTTATTGCTCATTTAATGGCCAGTTAACGGTCCTGTAGTTCTTTATGTGTACTTTGTCTAATTTTTTTATACATAATTATTGTAATAAATTCGTTCTAGTTAATTGAAATACTGTTTTTTTTTTCATATTTCATTGAGAAAACTGTGGAGAGTATTTATTGCAGAATTGTCTATGTTCTCATACATTTCCATAGTTACTCCGTCTGATTTTATTTCCTTTACCCTTCTCATTAATGACTTCATTTCTTGGAACTGGTATTTGTTTGACTAAAAAAGTAACTTATTACAAATTTAAACAATACAGTTTATGTCATGCCTTTCAGCTTGACCCCAAATACGTCGCAGAAGTTACGGAAAAAATTACCAATTTTGCAGAAACGTGTATGGCAGAGACCAAAGCAACAAGTGGTGAGTAGATTTTTATTATTTTTATTTATTGTAATTGAAATAGAGATCGTTGAGCTTTAAATCGTAAGATCGAGGTATAGATCATATATAGCATACAGATTGTGTTTGGGGAACCTATTTCTTAAACCTATTGAGACCTTCATCCACAATACTATTAAAATTAGTTTAAATTGATATGTAATAGCAATATACATATTCTGTCTCAAACAAATTATTAAGAAAACAACGGTAACTAACAGGAAATTTATTTGTAGACTTACACAAAGCATATGATGTAAACAAAATAAGATAAATATGGGAAAAATAGAACAAAATTCAGAGTTAAATCTATGTTACAGCCGCTTTAATAAACTATAAAAGAAAAATTCAAGGGATGGAAATATAACTTGAAAGCAAGAGACTCTTTACGCTTGTTTATCAAGTACATGATGCAAACAATAACACAATAACAGTAAAGACTGACTTAAATTAAATGCACAAACAAATACAAAGAAGAATAACAACAGCAAAAAAAGCAGTATCCTGTCACTATGGCATTCTATAGAATAAAAATATCACTAAGACAAAAAACACTCGAGGGAATCTGGAACCTGTAACCACTAGATAGCGCGTCACTAGGTGGTGGAAAGGGGAAAGCCCGACACGGTTTTTCGGAGGGCAGGAGGGAAATAAAATACCTCCCATGGACAAACAGGTAATTCAGCAAATGATTACTGGTAAAAGTCATCCCCCACTTAGTGACCAACGGCTTCGGGATGAGTTAGTAAGTGGAAGGGCACTCTTTTGTACAGGGGTTGAGAAACTGTCCCTAAAGGTAGATGAACTGAAAAATAAGTTAACATCGTAAGGATGTAGAAGGTCACCGGAAACTACAGCATTACAGACTCATAAAGTACCCCTCATAAAGTCATGAATCGCAAATGACAAAAATAGTAAACCAACTTACTGATCATGGACCATGGAACCCAAAATCCGGTAGGAGAGGAATATATGTAAACCACAGGGTCGTTAACAAGAGAAATCCCTGTGCATTTAAGACATTAAAAGTACCAACCTGAAATTTCAGACTATGTGTACGCAAGTGATAAATTAGCGAACGTACTTTTTGAAATAAAAAACCTCCAAATTGATATTCTAGGAATAAGTGACGTACAGTGGCGAGGTTCAGACAAGCAATTTTATTACAAATAGCAGAACCATGTATTATTCAGGTTTCAATAAGGTCAATTATCGCTATCTTAGCTACAAAAAAAAGGTCAACTGCGCTGTAATAAGTTTACTCCTAATTCTGATACGATCATATCATCAAGTTTAATCTAAGAAAAGTATAGTAATTTTTATTCAAGTGTATGCTCTGACGGCAGATAAATACGAAGACGAAATCGAACTATTTTACCATGATTTGGAACAAGTCTTAAAGCCAATGAAGAAAAATCACATTACATGAGTAATAGACGACTTCAATTCCAAATATGACCAAGGAAGAGTGGATGAATATGTGGGTGAATATGGTCTAGGAAATAGAAATGAACGTGGTGACCGTTTAATACAAATCTGCCACTTAAAAAAATTTGTAATGGCCAATACACTTTTTAAACTACTAAAAAGAATATTGTCAAGAAATGTATAAAAGTAGCTAAAATATTGATTAGAAATGAGGGAATATAAAACAAGCAATAATTAAAACAGAAAATGAAAAGTTAAAACCAAAGAAAAAAACCATAAACACTGGAGTGTTTATGGTTTAGAATACTATTAATGAATGAAAGAAAATCATTAAAAAATCCAATTAATGAAACCAATCGATTAATTAAAAAGAAAATAAAGAAAGCCAAAGAGAGACTGTAATATGACCAGTGTCAAGAAGTGGAAGAAGTTGAGACAAAATATGACTTTAGTTCTGCAGGATTATCTTAAATGGCTGAGGTATTTTTCATTAATGGATAAGCCTTTATTCTGCCAGTTCATTTTGCTGAATATATTTTCTAGAATTGCAGTGAAGAGCTTTGGTGATATTACGTTTCCTTGTCGAACGCCTCTGGTAGAGGAAAATTCTGGGGACTTTTCATAAATGTTTTTAGCTTCTTCTTCTTCTTCTTCTGGTTCCTATCCGTTTCGGATGTTGGAAATCATATTGGCAATCATAACCTTGCTCGCTGCGGCTCGAAACAGCTCCGTTGAGGTTTTCTTAAACCATGTTCTTAAATTCCGCAGCCATGATATTCTCCTTCTACCGGGTCCTCGCTTACCTTTGACTTCTTGCAATATAGACTGTAGCAGGGAGTAACGGTGCTGATTTCTCATAACGTGTCCCAGATATTGCAATTTTATGCGTTTGATCGTAAACACAATCTCTGGTTCCTTCTTCATTTTTCCTAGAACTTCTTTGTTCGTGATCCTTGCTGTCCATGATATTCTCAGCATTCTTCTATAAAGCCACATCTCAAATGCTTCAAGTTTTTTAATAGTGGCGTCTGTAAGCGTCCATGCCTCCGCCCCGTACAACAACACAGAGAAAACATAGCATCTCAAATGTCTCATTTTTGTATCAAGGGATATGTTGTGACTTTTGAAGATGGCGCTCATTTTGTTAAAGACCGTTCTTGCCTTTCCTATGCGGCACTTTATTTCCTGTAAATTGCTCCACTGTTCGTTAATAATAGTTCCCAGGTAACAATACTGTTTTACTCGCTCTATCTGCGGCCCATTAATGTATATATGAGCCCCATTTATATTCTCCTTGCTGATAATCATTTGTTTCGTTTTGTGGGTATTAATGTTTAGTCCGTACTGTTGACTGTACTCGTTTATTCTCTGAAGCCTCTGAAGTCCCTCTAAACTATCTGCTATCACCATGGTGTCATCGGCATATCTAACATTGTTTACTCTTTCACCATTTAAAAGGATGCCTTCGTCTATTCCGTAAAGAGCCTCGTTAAAAATTTTCTCTGAGTATCTGTATACATTAGCTAAAGACTCTATGTACGGTTTGTCAATGCCTTGGTGGGTCAAAGCTGCTATTACTTCCTTGGGATATATAGAATTGAAAGGCTTCTCGGAATCTAGAAGCTCTACACTCATTAGTTATCGAAGTGTATAGATATTGTTTTGGAACGTCTCGCAGTTCTTCTTTTTCTTCTTGTAATGGCTTCTAACGAAGGTTATCGATCACTTCTTTAAACGCTTCTCGATTTTTTGCAATGTGAAATATCTGTTCAACACTGAGGTTAGTCCAATCGCTGATATTCCTCAGCCAAGATTTCTTCTTTCTTCCCAAGCCTTTTTTCCCTCTACTCTACCTTGCATGATGACTTGTAGCAGAGAGTATTTATCGTTTCGGAGTATGTGGCCGAGATACGATGTTCTTCTTATTTTAATTGTGTTCATAAGCTTTCTGCCATGTCCAACTCATCTCAACACTTCCTCATTTGAGACTTTTGCAGTCCAAGGGATCTTCAAAGTACGCCTATATAGCCAGATTTCGAATGCCTCCAATTTTTTTATAGATTGGGCTTTCAGAGTCCAAGCTTCTACCCCATATAGTAGTTGCGACCAAACATAACATTCGACAAACCTCAATCTGATGGCCATACTCAATTTCTTATTTGTAAACATTGACTTGTATTTTATAAAGCCTTTTCGAGCTATTTATATTCTGACCATTATCTCCTGCTCTTGATCTAACTATGAGTTTAAAATTGCTCCGAGGTATTTATATTTGTCGACTCTCTCTAGGGGTTTACCCTCCAATGTCAGTTGTATGTTCTCAACAGAGTTTTTTGAGATCACCATGTATTTGGTTTTATTTATATTCATTGTTAGTCCCATCTTTTTGTTTTCTCTGTTAATGATTTCCAGGAGAGTTTGTAAATCGTCTATATTCTCTGCCATGATTGCGGTATCGTCTGAAAATCTTATGTTATTAATGATGCAGTTACTTTCCGCAAAAATTCCCGGTTTGGCATAATACAACATTAAATTCCAAGTAAAATTATTAAGTAATAAGTAATTAGTTCTAACCTTGAAGTTTCTAACCTTTAAATGTGATCATGCGCGAACAAAACCCTGTATTTTTGATAGATTTTTGAAAATATTCGATGTACTATAATTTATATGTTTAAATTTACCTTGGCTAATGGTTTCCTCCAGTTTATGTGCAATTTTCTCTACGTAAATATTTCCGAAATAATCCGAATATATCCGAAAATATTTTCGAAATTTATCAGAATGCATACCTAATTAGTTTAGCAAATAAATGATGAAACTCTCCAAATGTCGCTGTTTTTCTATTAATTTTATTAACCCGTTTACGTTTTCTATTTAAACTCTTTTTAAAAATATTGTACTTGAACAATGAATTTTCCGATAGTAAAAAGACAAAAGATTGTGGCCGAAGGACCAAAAATGAAATAAGATAAACCGGAACTAGCCCATATTTACAATGCATGCTTCCTCAGCAAAACTAACTATGCGTGATGTGCAGATATTTATATAATATCTGCATAATAATAAAAAAAAGTTATATCCCACAGCAGCATTCCGTTATTTTACTTGTTTCTCGTAGGCAATATTGACAATGCTTTAGTTTTTCTTAATAGCCTTCCATTTTAACTCTGTTCACAATTATTTTTAAATATCTAATGCAAATTATGTTCCACAGAGGATGTTGCCCAAATGATGGCTCACAAAATTCCAGAGAGTCATGAAGGAAAGTGCATGATCTCCTGTATCTACAAAGCATTCAAACTTGTAAGTTAAACATACTAAAACATTAAATTTTCTCAGAAGTCATCTTAATGTTAAACCATCAATAGTGTTAATAAATATCTTGTTTTTTTAGCAAAATGAAGATGGAACCATGAACCCTGACGAAACTCTAAAGATCTTGGAGAAGATTAAAGAAAGTGACGAAGAATTATACGAACAGTTGATGAAAGTGTTCAAAATTTGTCGAGGAAAGCCAGGTAATATAAAAGACTATGTATTTTTTATTTTACCTATGCTAAAATGATATAAATTATAATCAATTTAACTTATTTTTTTTTCAGAACTTCTTGTCGCAGATCCCTGCATAACAGCTGTCAATGTGGGGACATGTGTAGTGACTGAAGGAAAAGCGGTAGGTACCAAAGTTTATTAAATAATTTTTTACAGCTTTGATATTATCTGTCAGTATAATAGGTATATAAAAATTATAGAGAATAAATTAAACAAAAAACCAACATCAAAACAGCTCAAACTTTTGTGTACGTAACCGTAAATTGGCTGCATTATCTTCGTATTTCCTATTAATAAGAAAATTGCTATAGGGGAAAGTGGGGGAACCGTGCGCGGTGGGGAACGGTGCGCACCATTAAAATTCAAATTACGCGGCATACTGAGAGTCCCCTCCCGAACAGGCTTAAGCGGGAACATGCACAGAGTCTCTGAAGCCATTAACTGCCACTGCAGTTGAGTTGTGTACTTAGTGAAAGGCGAAAGTGTGCATTTGAGGTTTTTGTTACTATTTTCCACTTGCACAAATTAAGACGGTGAGTCCGTAAATCTTAACTACTTGTTTTGAAATAATTATATTCTTAAAGAATATCATCTGCTGCATATATGCACACCATTTGGTTGCATTTAGATAAGTAATTTTTGTAGGATGATGTAATTACGTTTTTAAACCATAGTGGGGTAACCGTGCGCGAAAATGCGCACGGTTACCCACTAATCAATTAAATATGAAGCAATATTGTTATCGTTTTTGGGTACTAAAATCCGTCTTTTATTTTCAGATGCCACGAAATTACGTTCGAAAGACTGAAATCCATCAATATAGTGATGAATTGCTGGAGACTGCACTGAATGCAATTAGAAACGATGGGAGGAAAATACGAGAAGTTGGGAGGTCTTTTGGTATTCCTGAATCAACACTCAGAAAAAAGCTTTCTCTAAATCAACTAAAAATCCCCCATCTCGGTAGAAAGGCGATTTTTACAGCAGAAGTGGAAGCTGAATTAACCCACTATATTCTGACACTCGCAAAATTGTTTTACGGCGTAACGCCCCGACAACTGAGGCAGTTAGCGTTTAATTATGCTCAACAGAAAAATATTCCAAATAATTTCAATAAACAAACTCAGTTAGCAGGCAAAGATTGGTTGTATGGGTTTCTCAAGCGAAATCCTGAAATATCATTGAGACAGCCTGAGGGGACTAGTCTTAATCGAATTGCTGCATTTAATGCGGACGAGTTAAAACTTTTTTATTCAAATCTCGAGAAAGTTTTACAAAAATTTAAATTTGAAGCAAACAGGATATATAATATGGACGAGACGGGTGTAACCACTGTACAGAAGAAGTGCCCGAAGGTTTATGGACGTAAGGGTGTAAAAAAAGTAGGAGCTGCTATTTCAGGTGAAAGAGGGAGGACCATTACAGCCGTATTTTGCATGAGTGCCACAGGAAATTATATCGCGCCCATGCTGATATATCCCAGAAAGAGAATGGCTCCTGCGCTGCAGAAAAATGGGCCAACTGGTGCTAACTATAAATGTTCAAAAAATGGATGGATGAATTCTGAACTTTTTCTTGATTGGTTAATGCACTTCGAAAAACAGGCAAATCCCACTTTAAATGACCCGATTCTCCTTATCCTTGACAACCATTCAAGCCATATATCCATAGAGGCATACGATTTCTGTAAGTCAAATCATATTCATATGGTGTCCCTTCCGCCACATACTTCCCATCACCTTCAACCCCTTGACCTATCCTTCTTTGGTCCTTTAAAAAATGCGCTATACAGGGAGTATGATATTTATTTAACTACAACAGGCCATGAAAAGATCACTGAATATGACGTAGCTGAGCTGTTAAATAAAGCGTTCGTAAAAGTCGCATCGATGGAGAAAGCAGTTTCGGGATTTCGTTCTGCTGGAATAAGGCCATTTGACCCTAACAAATTCAACGAAGATGATTTCGCTCCGGCCAACGAAATGAGACAGTTTGTAGTAGAAGGTTCTCCCGAACGTAGCGCTAATTTATTAACACTTGCATCTCAGCCAAATCTACAAAAAATTCCTAATCCGGCAACACCCGAACCTAGTGAAAATTCAGACGGTGAAGATAGACAGACAGCTCATATGCCAAAACAACAGCAGCAGGATCTACCTATTCAAGGTCATCTACCATGTACATCTACCGCTGAACAAGATCATCTACCATCTACATCTAAGTCTGGACACAACCATCTACCATCGACATCTACATTAAATAATTCATTCTTCCAATTTGCACCTATTCCAAGGAGAAAAGAAAAAGGAAGAGTAAAAACAGTGTCTCGTTCGAAACAACACTCTGAAATATTGACTAGCACACCCCTAAAAGAACGATTAGAACAAGCTCAAGCAAAGAAAAGGGAAAAAGACGTGAAAAAAAACATGAAATTAAAAAGTGTCAAAACATTAGGAAAGAACAATATTAAGAAAGATAATAAGAAAATGAAGAGGGCTCCAACACCTGAACTTGATGCACAAGAACGTGACGAGGAAGATGAAATCGAGAATGCTTATTTCTCGATCCCACCTCACTCCTTCTACGGAACCACTACAAGAAAAATAACGGCAAAAGAGAATGTTGCAAAAAAAGTAAAAAAACGCATATGTCAGTCTCCGGAAATTAAAAGAGGGAGAAATAAGAAACCAGCAACGCCTGAATCATCAGAGGTATCTGACATAGACGATAGTGACATTTGTGACGATGATGAAGTAGACGATATCAACCCCAACTATGTTCCATTTGATGCAGAACCTGACGTGCGGACTGAATTATGTGGCATATGTGGAGAACATGGAAAAAGCGAACTATGGTACCGGTGTGTTGCATGTGGCTTATGGAACCACGCGGCATGTACCGGTAAAGATGCCCCCGAACAATACATTTGCGACTTTTGTCAAGGTTAAACAGATACCTACTTAACATTATAGGTATATAATCACTCGTACAATAAATATTTGTTCTTGCATGTGAATTTGTTTTTATACCACTGTATTATTAGGTACTTGTATATTCCAAACTACTGCGCACTGTTCCCCACCCTGTGCGCACAGTTACCCCATGGGGTGGGGAACGGTGCGCAAATGCAATTTTTTACTTTTTCTAATTATATATGATTATGTTAAGAAATTCAATATCTATTATAGTGCATACTGAAAGTAGAATAATTAGGGTATCAGATAACGTTTTTATTTTATTTTTTATGTTTAAGAGTTGACCACCACAACGATTCTCGCTTAGGTGCGCACCATTCCCCCACCTTCCCCTATATAATGGGTAAATGGACTGGAGACCATGGCCTTTACAAAGAAAACCTTAGAACAGCTCACTAGAACCCAAAGGGCGATGGAGAGAGCCATGCTAGGGATCAGTTTGAGGGACAGCATTCGAAATATCGACATTCGGGAAAGAACAAAGATTACTGAGGTCGCAGAACATACAGCAAGGCTCAAGTGGCAATGGGTCGGACATGTTGCCCGAGATAATCCCAAAAAATGGACACAAAGATTAACAAACTGGAGACCAAGAGAGAACAGCCGAGGAGTAGGCAGACCACAGAAGAGATAGGCAGATGATATCAAATAAGTCGCAAGCAAGCAGTTGATGAGAATTGCCAAGAGTAGAAATCAATGGAAGCAAATAGAAAACACTGTGTCCAGCAGTGGATGAATATAGGCTGAAGAAGAAGATGGCAAAAAATTATAATCTTACACTTGCTAGCGTATCCAAAAAAGTTTTCTGTGTATACGTATCTACATGAAATTAAGTGATTAGTCTATGTTACTACTTCTTACACCAGTCTTTTACATCGTCGGAACTGTTCATCCAATAAAACCGTTCCCGAATTCCCTGAAGGGTCTTCTTCACACCAAAATGCCCTCCTGATGGACTGTCGTGTAACTGACGAAGTACTTCGGCTATTCTGCTCTTTGGAATCACCAACTGTCTTCTCTTCTCTGAACCGTCATCATTTTCCAGGACTCGTTTGAGCAAGCCATCTTCCATGATAAATGAGTCCCACTGGGCCCAATACGTCTTAACTACTGAGCCTAGGTTCGATATTTCTTGCCAAGGTGGTCGACGGTTTTCCTCTTTCCATTTTCGGATTTTCTGTATAACTGGATCTCTCTCTTGTTCTTCCCTGATGTTGGTAGGCGTCCAGTCGTCGTGGACCACCGTCGTTCTTAGCACTGCTGCTTCCTTGGATTCCGTTTTGTTGCAGTGAGAACACTCTGCTGGGCATGGCCTTCTGGAAAGAGAATCAGCGTTTCGGTGGCTAACTCCGGCCCGGTGCTCAATCTTAAAATCATATTCTTGGAGTCGTTCGATCCACCTGGCTATCTGACCCTCTGGATTCTTGAACTGCATCAACCACTTAAGGGCGGCATGGTCGGTTCGGATTAAAAACTTCCTTCCATAGAGGTATTGATAGAAGTGCTCTACTGATTTCACTACTGCCAGAAGTTCTCTTCTCGTGACGCAATAATTTCGCTCAGGTTTTGAGAGAACTTTACTAAAATATCCAAGGACTCTTTCCTGTCCTCCTTGAATCTGAGACAGCACTCCTCCAATTCCCACATTACTTGCATCTGTATCTAAGATGAACTCTCCTTCTGGCAGTGGATACCCTAAAATTGGTGCTGTGATTAAATGCTTTTTTAAGGTTTCAAAGGCATTCTGGCAGTCTACATCCCAGCGGTATTCTCTTGCTTCCTCTGTAAGTCGCGTTAATGGTTTAGCGATATCTGCAAACTTCTTAATAAACCTCCGGTAGTAAGTACACAGTCCCAGAAAACTTCTCACTTGATGTTTGTCAGTTGGTTTTGGCCATTCCTTAATAGAATCGATTTTTCCCTTATCCACGGCCACTCCTTCTTTACTGACTATATGACCCAGATAATTGACTTTACCTTGAAATAGCTGGCACTTCTTGGGGTTTAACATCAATTGGGCAGCTTTAAGTCGATTAAAAACGTTTTCTAAATTCTTTAGATGGTCTTCAAATGTCTCCCCCAAGACGATTATGTCGTCTAGATAAACTAGGCATGTTTTCCAAGATAACCCTCTCAACACATTTTC